CTTTCTTTAGTATTATTGCTTTAAATACATATGATTACATGAAGTTTCTGTAAAGAGTCAGATAGTGAGGCCAAGGCAGGCAGATTGCTTGAGGTCAGGAGTTTGAAACCAGCCTGAGCAAGAGCGAGACCCGCCTCTTTATATAGAAAGAAATTAATTGGTCAATACTATATATAAAAAAATTAGCTGGGCATGGTGGCGCATGCCTGTAGTCCAGCTACTTGGGAGGCTGAGGCAGCAGGATCGCTTGAGCCCAGGAGTCTGAGGTTGCTGTGAGGTAGGCTGCTGCCATGGCACTCACTCTAGCCTGGGCAACAAAGTGAGACTCTGTCTCAGAAAAAAAAAAAAAAATCAGATAGTAATACTTAAGCTTTGTGGGCAAAAGTGTTAAAATCAGGCTATTAATGTTAAGTATGTATATAGCAACAGAGAAACAAATTTCCATAAATATTTTATTGACAAAATTAAATATATAACTAATAAATAAATACAATTTTGGTTATATGCTATCCTAATTAAAAAAATAGAATTCTGGGCTGGGTGTGGTGGCTCACATCTGTAATCCTAGTACTTGGGAGGTGGGAGGATCACTTGAGGTCAGGAGCTCGAGACTAGCCTGAGCAAGAGTGAGATCCCTTTTCTACTAAAAATAGAAAAAATTAGCTGGGTGTGCTAGATCGTGCATCTGCAGTCCCAGCTACTTGTGGGAGGCTGAGGCACGAAGATTGCTTGAACATCGGAGTTTGAGGTTGCGTGAGCTATGATGATGCCAATGCACACTAGCCAGGGCGACAGAGCAATAGTCTGTCTCAAAAACAAACAAACAAACAAAACCAGAATTCCCTTTTAGGGTCTTATTTGGCTTAACTGGCTCAAAGTTAGTGTTCCTTAGTAAAGAAAATGTTCATCTGTAAAAATCATTTTTAGCTCATGGTCCTTACAAAAAACAGGCAGTGGGCTGGATTTGGCACACAGGCTGCAGTTTGCTGATTCCTGTACTGAACCAGCAGAGACCTTAGGATCCCTTTTTAATCATTAAATTTGCTTCCTCAAATATGTCCTCAATGGTTTTACAAAGACTTCAGTTTTACTAGCATTATTTTTATAGATAATGTAAAATAAACTTCAGCTCCGTCCCCATTTAAACTGCTATCATTTCAAACTAAAGGGATGAATTAATTATACTATAATTTGTATAAGTTAGCAGTGCAATTCAATAATCACTTCTCTCCAGAAATAATGCCAAACTAAAAAATTATTACCATTTGTGTGCATTTATAACTATGACAGGCCCAATAACAAGGTAGGATTTCTTATATTGCACTTTATTAATAGAAGACAGAGCTAATTATTGATGTATACTAAATACATAGTATGTTGAAATGTTCATTTTACTAAATAGTTCCCAGATGAGAAAAAACTGTACATAGTAATTCTGAAAAACTTACCAACACTTAATATTTATACACATGTTAAGATATCACCAACATTATGTTGATGATTTTCACATTTAACAGAATAAAAACCAATAACAGCAAACACAAATTAAAACTACAAAATTTACACCTTTGAATGAAACATTTAATCCATTATTTATTATTATTTGGTGGATTCAATATGAAGGAAAAATTATGATTTCAGATTTAGACTGACTTAAGATTCAATATATTTATTACAAAAGGCATTAGAAGCATTTATTTAGAATGACAATGTCTAATGCCATGTAGAAATACCATGTTTAATTTTTTTTTTTAAATAAGGTGTCATTTAAAAATGTTAAAAGAGATTCCAAGACAAACCTTATTTTGATAAGTGTCAACTCTAGAATACTAACCCTAATTGAATATCAATGTACTTGGGGAAATTACAAGACAAAGTTTCAAAAAATTTGATAAAATAGTTTTTGAAATTAAAGTTGAAACATTACACGAAAGAAGACTATCTTGAAGATACAATTTATTACACTCAAACTATTAAGTAATTTGGAAGACAAATCTTTGGGGAAAAACAAGAAAGCATACATATCCTACACAATTTTTTTTTTTCCTGAGACAGAGTCTTATTTCTGTTGCCCAGGTTAGAGTGCCGTGGCACCAGCTAGCTCACAGCAACCTCAAACTCCTAGGCTCAAGCAATCCTTTTGCTTCAGCCTCCTGAGTAGCTAGGACTACAGGCATGTGCCACCATGCCCAGGTAATTTTTCTATATATTTTTAGTTGGCCAATTAATTTCTTTCTATTTTAGTAGAGACAGGGTCTCGCTCTTGCTCAGGCTGGTCTGAACTCCTGACCTTGAGTGATCTGCCCGCCTTGGCCTCCCGAGTACTAGGATTACAGGCATGGAGCCACTGAACTGGCCCCTACACAAATTTTTAAACATAAATTCAATGTGTTTTCTTCTTCTACTTAATTAAAATATTTCACAAAGGGTCCTTTTATAGAAATTTACAATATAATATTTAAAGTACTTTTTTTTTTTTTTTTTTGAGACAGAGTCTCACTTTCTTGCCCAGGCTAGAGTGAGTGCCGTGGCGTCAGCCTGCTCACTGCAACCTCAATCTCCTGGGCTCAGCGATCCTACTGCCTCAGCCTCCTAGTAGCTGGGACTACAGGCATGCGCCACCATGCCGGCTAATTTTTTTGTATATAAGTAGCAATTAATTTCTTATATTTTGTAGAGACAAAAAAAAAAAAAAGTTTGTATACTGAAAAAGAAGATGTAACATTGTCTTTGTAGACAAAATGATCATTTATGAAGAAATCTCTAAGGAATCTGTAAAAAAACATCTATTATAACTAAAAAGTAAATTTACCAAGGTACAGGACACAAAACCAATATACAAAAGTCAACAGTGTTTTTTTTTATCTATTTATTTATTTTTGAGACAGAGTCTGGTTCTGTTGCCTAGGCTAGGATGTAAGTAGATAGCTCACTGCAGCCTCAAATTCCTGGGCTCAAGTGATCCTCCTGCTTCAACCTCCTAAGTAGCTGGGAATACAGGTACATGCCACCATACCTGGCTAATTTTTTTTGTTTTGTAAAGACAATGTCTTACTATGTTGCTGAGGCTAGTCTCAAACTCCTCAGCTCAAATGATCCTCCTGCCTATATAATCCTGCTCGGATTATAGGCATGAATCACCATGTCTGGCCTCAACTGTGTTTTTTTAAATATTAGCAACAAACTATTGGAAATTGATATTTAAAAATACCATTTTCAATAGCATAAAAGAGAGAATAATTTAAAATAAATTAAAAAAAATATGTGCAAGACCTGCACGTAAAGCAAGAAAATACTGCTAAGAAAATTAAAGAAGACCTACGTTGTCTATGGACTGGAAGATTCAATATTGTTAAGACATCAGTTTAATCCCAATTTGATGTGAATTTGAATCAAAGTGGATATGGAATAGATTGACACTGTGAATCTATGTGAAACAGATTCAATGTGATCCCAATTAAATCCAAATAGGCTTTTAATAAAAATTGATAAGCTCATTCTAAAATTTGTTATGTAAATGCAAAGGACCTAGAATAGCTAAAAAAAAAAAGTTGGAATTCTACTACTACCTGACAGTGTGGTATTGGTATAAGGATAGACATACTGATTAGGGTAACAGAATAGAGTCTAGAAATAAAGCACATACATATGGTCAATTGATTTTTGACAAAGGTTTGAAGTTAATTCAATGAGGGAAAGATAAATGGTGTTGGAACAATTGGATGTCCATATGTAAAAATATTAACCTTCACCCTTACCTCACATGACACAAAAATTAACTCAAAATGGATCACATACCTAAATATAAGAAAGGTTCTAAAAGAAAGCATAGGAGAAAATCTTAGGGTGCAAAAAAGCATGAACTATAAAAGAAAAAAGTTGCTACATTGGGAATTCGTCAAAATTTAAAATACTTTGAAAGACATTATTAAGAAAATAAAAAGATAAGCAACACTCTGGGAAAAGACATTTGCTAATGTTTGTATTTGATAAAGACTTATATTCAAAATATAGAAAGAACTCTTATAATTCAATGAGAAGACAAATACCCTGCTAAATAAAATGGGCAATATTTGAATAGATATTTCACCAAAGAAAATATACAAGCAGCAAATAAGCACACAAAGAGATTCTCATTATAATTAGTCTTTACAAAAATGCAAATTAAAGCCACAAGGAGTTATTACTACTACATTCACTAGAATGGTTAAAATTAAAATACCTATAATACCAAGTGTTGATAAGGATGTTGAACAATTGAAATTCTCACATATTACTGATGGGAATGCAAAATGGTACAGCCACTTTAGAAAATAGTGTGGTAGTTTTTTATAAAAATAATCATACACTTATCATATGATCCAGGAATCCCATTCTTAGGTTATTTACCCAAGAGAATGAAAACATATGTTCACATGAACTTCTACTTGAATGGCTATAGCAACTTTACTCAAAATAGCCAAAAGCTAGAAACAACCTCAATGGTAAATGGCAAACAAAATGAGGTATAGCCATACAATGGATATAAAATAAAAAGGTAATAAAAAAGGAATATGCATAGAAGCAACAACATGCATAAGTATTAAAAGCATGTTAAGTGAAAGAAGCCAGAACAAAATCCATTGTACAATTTTAATTGTATAAAATTCTAAAAAAGGCAAAACTATAGAGAAAAAAAGCAGATCAGTGATTGCTAGGAGCTAGTGGTAGGATAGTACTGACTGCAAAAAGACAGGAAGGAACTTTCTGGGAGGATAGAAATATTCTGTATCGTGACTGTGGTGGTGGTTACACAATTGTATACACCTGTCAAAACTAATAGAATTACACATGTAAAATGGGCAATTTTACTGCATATAAATGACACTTCAACAAAGCTGATTTTAAAACTTTAATGTAAAAAGCCATTTTTCATTATTCTTTAAGGAGAATACATTGAAAAAGAACATAGAGACAAATCTCTAAGATAAATTCTATCTAAATTACTCAATTCATCTTACCGGCCCCATGGATCTCTTAGCCCTCTTGCAGCCAGCTTCTGTTGGACAGTTTCTAATGGTGTCCCTTCTATCTTCCACTGTTTATAATCTGGAAGTTCCATTTTACTATGTCCATGTCCATGTTCATGTCCATGTCCATGGGCCATGTCTACAGGAAAAGATTAACATAAGTGAGAAACATGCAGACTGTAGATATCAAATACTCAAATTTATTTAAGGTGAGACATTTAAAGTTAATGCTTTAAAAAAGGAGCCAATATAAATATTTGAAAATTCTAGTTAAAAAATTTTTATAAAACAGTGTCTTATTACATAACTAGTGTATGGTCACAGTTAAAAAACACACATATACAAAATATAAAAAAGAAAAATAATCAGTTACCCCACCACTTAGAGATAATCATTTATTATTTGGTTCCTTTCTTCATAATAATAGAAAACATTTATTGAGCCCTATGTGCCAGGTGTCCTATGCTAATATGCTTTACATGTATTAACTCCATTACTTCTAAATCAACTCTTTAAACTTAAATGATCATTATCTCTATTTCACAGATGAAGGTAATAAGACTCCAAGTTAAGTATTATATAACTTTCCAAAAGTAACAAAAATAGTAAATGGTAAAACTGGGATTTGAACTTTGCAGTTTGATTTCAGAAACATGCTCCTAACTTCTTAGCAATATTGTTTTCCTCTTTTCAATCCTTTCATAATACATAAATATGCATAACAAAAAGTTGTATAAACTGGGTTTTTTATCTGCTTTCTTTAGTATTATTGCTTTTAAATACATATGATTACATGAAGTTTTTCTGTAAAGAGTCAGATAGTGAGGCCAAGGCAGGCAGATTGCTTGAGGTCAGGAGTTTGAAACCAGCCTGAGCAAGAGCGAGACCCCGCCTCTATTATAAATAGAAAGAAATTAATTGGTCAACTAATATATATAAAAAAATTAGCTGGGCATGGTGGCGCATGCCTGTAGTCCCAGCTACTTGGGAGGCTGAGGCAGCAGGATCGCTTGAGCCCAGGAGTCTGAGGTTGCTGTGAGGTAGGCTGCTGCCATGGCACTCACTCTAGCCTGGGCAACAAAGTGAGACTCTGTCTCAGAAAAAAAAAAAAAAAAGAGTCAGATAGTAAATACTTAAGGCTTTGTGGGCAAAAGTGTTAAAATCAGGCTATTAATGTTAAGTATGTATATAGCAACAGAGAAAACAAATTTCCATAAATATTTTATTGACAAAATTAAAAATATAATAACTAATAAATAAATACAATTTTGGTTATACTGCTATCCTAATTAAAAAAATAGAATTCTGGGCTGGGTGTGGTGGCTCACATCTGTAATCCTAGTACTTGGGGAGGTGGGAGGATCACTTGAGGTCAGGAGCTCGAGACTAGCCTGAGCAAGAGTGAGATCCCTTTTCTACTAAAAATAGAAAAAATTAGCTGGGTGTGCTAGATCGTGCATCTGCAGTCCCAGCTACTTGTGGGAGGCTGAGGCACGAAGATTGCTTGAACATCGGAGTTTGAGGTTGCGGTGAGCTATGATGATGCCAATGCACACTAGCCAGGGCGACAGAGCAATAGTCTGTCTCAAAAACAAACAAACAAACAAAACCAGAATTCCCTCTTTTAGGGGTCTTATTTGGCTTAACTGGGGCTCAAAGTTAGTGTTCCTTAGTAAAGAAAATGTTCATCTGTAAAAATCATTTTTAGCTCATGGTCCTTACAAAAAACAGGCAGTGGGCTGGATTTGGCACACAGGCTGCAGTTTGCTGATTCCTGTACTGAACCAGCAGAGACCTTAGGATCCCTTTTTAATCATTAAATTTGCTTCCTCAAATATGTCCTCAATGGTTTTACAAAGACTTCAGTTTTACTAGCATTATTTTTATAGATAATGTAAAAATAAACTTCAGCTCCGTCCCCATTTAAACTGCTATGCATTTCAAACTAAAGGGGATGAATTAATTATACTATAATTTGTATAAAGTTAGCAGTAGCAATTCAATAATCACTTCTCTCCAGAAATAATGCCAAACTAAAAAATTATTACCATTTGTGTGCATTTATAACTATGACAGGCCCAATAACAAGGTAGGATTTCTTATATTGCACTTTATTAATAGAAGACAGAGCTAATTATTGATGTATACTAAATACATAGTATGTGAAATGTTCATTTTACTAAATAGTTCCCAGATGAGAAAAAAACTGTACATAGTAATTCTGAAAAACTTACCAACACTTAATATTTATACACATGTTAAGATATCACCAAACATTATGTTGATGATTTTCACATTTAACAGAATAAAAACCAATAACCAGCAAACACAAATTAAAACTACAAAATTTACACCTTTGAATGAAACATTTAATCCATTATTTTATTATTATTTGGTGGATTCAATATGAAGGAAAAAATTATGATTTCAGATTTTAGACTGACTTAAGATTCAATATATTTATTACAAAAGGCATTAGAAGCATTTATTTAGAATGACAATGTCTAATGCCATGTAGAAATACCATGTTTAATTTTTTTTTTTAAATAAGGTGTCATTTAAAAATGTTAAAAGAGATTCCAAGACAAACCCTTATTTTGATAAGTGTCAACTCTAGAATACTAACCCTAATTGAATATCAATGTACTTGGGAGAAATTACAAGACAAAGTTTCAAAAAATTTTGATAAAATAGTTTTTGAAATTAAAGTTGAAACATTACCACGGAAAGAAGACTATCTTGAAGATACAATATTATTACACTCAAACTATTAAGTAATTTGGAAGACAAATCTTTGGGAAAAAAACAAGAAAGCATACATATCCTACACAATTTTTTTTTTTTTCCTGAGACAGAGTCTTATTCTGTTGCCCAGGTTAGAGTGCCGTGGCACCAGCCTAGCTCACAGCAACCTCAAACTCCTAGGCTCAAGCAATCCTTTTGCTTCAGCCTCCTGAGTAGCTAGGACTACAGGCATGTGCCACCATGCCCAGGTAATTTTTTCTATATATTTTTAGTTGGCCAATTAATTTCTTTCTATTTTTAGTAGAGACAGGGTCTCGCTCTTGCTCAGGCTGGTCTTGAACTCCTGACCTTGAGTGATCTGCCCGCCTTGGCCTCCCAGAGTACTAGGATTACAGGCATGAGCCACTGAACTCGGCCCCTACACAAATTTTTAAACATAAATTCAATGTGTTTTCTCTTCTACTTAATTAAAATATTTCACAAAGGGTCCTTTTATAGAAATTTACCAAATATAATATTTAAAGTATACTTTTTTTTTTTTTTTTTTGAGACAGAGTCTCACTTTCTTGCCCAGGCTAGAGTGAGTGCCGTGGCGTCAGCCTAGCTCACTGCAACCTCAATCTCCTGGGCTCAGCGATCCTACTGCCTCAGCCTCCCTAGTAGCTGGGACTACAGGCATGCGCCACCATGCTCGGCTAATTTTTTTTGTATATATATTTTTAGTTAGTCAATTAATTTCTTTCTATATTTTGGTAGAGACGGGGTCTTGCTCAGGCTGGTTTTGAACTCCTGACCTCGAGCAATCCGCCCGCCTCGGCCTCCCAGAGTGCTAGGATTACAGGCGTGAGCCATAAAGTACTTTTTGAAAAGACTGAAAAGTTGAACACTATTTTTAGGAAACTTTTCATTTTCCTGAAAAACTATTTCTATTTCAGAGTAGCCACAAATCAATGATATCCTGATCACTTAAAGGAAAAGAGTTTCGAATTCTCCTACTGTGCACTATTAATATCTATGAAATCCAAGGCAAATCCCTTAATCTCTCTGAACTTCAGTTTCTTAATATAACATGAGAATAAAACCTACCTTGCAAGATTGTGAGAAGTGGGGAAAACACATTGTGATGTGCCTTCCACTTTCACACCCAGGTGGTGAGAATGTTACTTAGCTCAGTTTTTCAAGTCTGAAAAACTGGCACGACCTAGAAAAGTTGAACATTCAAATACCTAATGGTCAACAATTCCACTCTTAGCTATATATCTCTAGATCTGCACTGTCCAAAAGGGTAGCCACTAGCACTTGAAATATAGCTAGTACAACTGGGGAACTGAGAATTTTAATTAATTTGAATTAATTTTAATCTTAAAACAGATTCTCAAATCAGTTATCGGAAAATATTAAGGTGTGTTTGGAACAATTTGGGTACATGAATCTACTTTTTCAACTGTAAACTGAAACACAGATCAAGTATCAGAAAAAAAATATATGTACTTTGATCTCATTTACATTGACTTGAATTAAATTAAAAACCTAGTAATTCATTTTTTAGGACTGCATTATAGATGGAAAAACTAAAGGAAAACAAGAGACTGCTAATCACCAGTCAGGATAATAGTTACCTCTTGGTGTATACTCGATGAAATCACAGAAACTTATATAGGGAGTGTCTTTTTTTTTCCTTGATAGAGACAGGGTCTTGCTATGTTGCCCAGGTTGAACTCTTGGCCTCAAGAATCCTCCAGCCTCCACTTCTCAAAGTGCTAAGATTATGCCGTATGTCACTGTGCCAAGGTAGAAAGCTTCTAAGGCACTGTTGTTCAACCAATTTTTAATTACTGTCCTTCTAAAAAACCTTTTTAGACTTTTTTTCCTAATCATCCTCCCCCCTCAATGAAATTTTAACACACAGATATACGCACATTATAACGCACATATATCTGCTTATATATGGTGGTCCCTCCAAAGGGCCACAAATCATTGCAGTAACTAAGATTCCCTACCATCCCTCCAAAAACCAATTTTCACCCCATATATGCAATATTCCCTGTTAAGAATGTATGTTCTATACATAATGAGTGAGATGTGCACCATCTGGGGGATGGTCATGATGGAGACTCAGACTTTTGGGGGGAGGGGGGGAAATGGGCATTTATTGAAACCTTAAAATCTGTACCCCCATAATATGCCGAAAAAAAAATATGTTCTAAGTTATTGGCATTGTTTTATTTCTGAACCTAAGGGGTGGCTACATGAGCATTTGTTTAATTATAATTCATTAAAATGTATATATGTTTTATACACTCTTCAGTTATGTATACTTGACAATAAAAAAATAAATTAGAAAAAGTGACTTAAATTGTGCAGAGGACTCAAAAACGGTTATTTCTCGGCTGGGCAAGGTGGCTCACGCCTATAATCCTAGCACTCAGAGAGGCCGAGGAGGGAGGATCACACAAGGTCAAGAGTTCGAGACCCCGGTTCTACTACTAAAAATAGAAAGAAATTAATTGGCCAAGTAAAAATACATAGAAAAAAAATTAGCCGGGCAGGCTAGTGCAAGCCTTTAGTCCCAGCTACTCAGGTGGCTGAGGCAGAAGGATTGCTTGAGCCCAGGAGTTTGAGGTTGCTGCAAGTTAGGCTGGCGCCATGGCACTCTAACCAGGGCAACAGAGTGAGACTCTGTCTCAGAACAAAACAAAACAAAAAAACCGGTTATTTCCATTTCAGAGCTGCTCAAATAAGAACAGTAAAGAAATTGGTTAAATAAAGAGAGAACATATAGTCATGAACATTTAAAAAACTATCTATGTCTTAAGTGAACCTACAAGTCTGGTGGAGATCAACCTCCAAAAAAGAAAATGGCTCTGGCACAGGAAAAGTGCTGGTATACTTACTCTAAGAAAGAAAGAAAAAAAAAGATAATGCTACATCCATTACATGAAATTTTAGTTTACCAAAGACTTTCAAGTATATATCCTAAGTTCCTCTCATTTTAAAAGTTGTGAATACTCTGAGAACATTAGAAAATTTTAAAAAACCAAATGAACTGTTACCACTTTTAGTGTCCCTTCCAGTCCCTGCTGGAAGGGCATATATACAACTTAGAAACAGTTGGCACTCTAAAAATGGATGTGATTTTGAATCCTGCTCTTTTTCTCTTTAACATTGTATCATAAACAATTATACCACGAAAATCTTAATTAAAACCATACAAGTCTGTGAGACAGAAATTACAATGATTACTATTTTACATGTTTTCGGTATTGGGACTGTTCTGCCTTTGTTCGATTCAAAGGTAAACCAAACCAAAAAAAACACAAAAGACCACAGGGCGGGGAGTGTTGCGTGTGGCATAGACAGGAAAAAGCACGTAGATTTAACAATCACGGCAATACTTTCTCCAACCACCTCTACCTACTCCAGCTCTAAACTAGGACTTCATAGTTCTCTCCCGCTAGTTCCTCGACCTCCTTCCCACTTGAGCTGCCCCGCCTCATCATCCTTCTCCACTTAGTCTCTCCCTTTCTGCATGCCCCATAAAGCCTACCTCTGATTCCTTATAAAGAGGTCGATCACCAAATCCCTAATTTACCGGCCGGCAATCTGACCTCTCAGGACACTCAACGCTCTAGAGGGAGCCGACCGGAAATGGAGGTTGTCATCTCGACTCCCTTACGGCAGGAAAGCGGAGAGGCCATTTAACGTTCCGGTACTGAGTCAAAGATTCCTGAACTAAATGGAGATTACATGAGTGGACTGAAATTCTATATTTTCCCCACATGTGTGCATCTCAGTCTGACTGAGAGATATTATAGAGGAAAGAAGGGCGGGGAAGAGGAAATGTTTTCCTTGCGTGGACACCGGAATCCTTAGACATTGCACCGAGGGGAGGGACACAGACATGCTGCAGCCAATGAGTGAGGCTGTTGTTGAAAGCGTGAACTCACCCAATGAGAGGGCGGGTTGTTGTGCTGCAGTTGGCAGGCTGCTGCGGGAGGCGGTGGCGGTAGGAAGCCGGAGACAGCGGGGTGACAGGTAGGCGGCTGTGCTGTCTTTGGGGGACGCAAAGTGCTAGTTGAGGAGGGTTTTTCTTCTCCGGCTGAGGGAACTATACAGGGGAGCTGAGGAGGGTGGTCCAGGAAGGCGGTAACCTGAGTGTTCGTGATCCCGGAGCCTCTCATAATCCAGGTAGCAGTTTGGGAGGGTCGTGAGGAGGAGAAGGCAGCAGCCGTGGCGCGTGGAGATGAGCCCTGTCGGGTGACATGGGGGCCTACCTTAGAGGTAGTGGAACGGGGCTGCCGTGGCGCTGGGTGAGAGGGGGGGAGAGAGGCGAGGGCAAGACGGTGTAGTGAGGGCTGGAAGAATTCCTTCTACAAAGCCCAAAGCGAGAAAAGGACGCGGTATTGTAGACACCTGAGAGAAAGCCTAGTGATTGCTTATTAGGGCCATTTCCTGGGGTGGGAGGGGGAACGGAGGAGAAAGATATGTACTGATGGTCAGATGCTGGAAACTCTTTATAGCTGTACATTATGTAATCCTTGGTTATTATTTACCCAAATAACTGGGTTGTGCCTCCTGAAACAGGAGGTCTTGCGGATCTGTTGGTGGTTTAGAACACTTTTTTCGTTGGCTTCAGTGCCTTCTACCCGGGCAGGCTCTGTAGGCGAAGGGTGATAGCATCGAGGATAGAATAGTCACAAAGAGCTTATCCCAAATATGGACTTAAGTTGAAAGATACGATGCTAGTTTGTGATGAACGTGGTCAGGTTCATGTTTTGTACTTCATGAATTTGTTTTGAAGGTCAAGGCTGATAACATTTTTTCTTTTAATCTTCAGGAAAGCGGAGAGCCTTAAAAAAATCTATAGTAGAAGGTAAGTGCAAGTTGGAAAAAGATGAGAAAATTAGTTGGTAGATTTTTTTCCCACCGGATATTGTGGATGTTAGGGACTGTGAAAATAAATTGGTGGTCTGAATTGAGGGAAAAAAGTCAACCTTTATTTAAGTAGTTTGCTAAGTCTGAGAAGCTAGTTATGAATTATTTATTTCTTAGGTTTAAAAACTGTACCTCTTTGAACCTCTTTGAGGTAAAATGTATTTGCAGGTATAATAAACTGTAAATTTTGCTTTAAGAAGTTTTTATAATTCATTGTTTGCACAATGAAATGTAATTAAAATAGGAATTCCATTCAATGTGTTATGGAAGGACAAACTACATAAAAACTATATTTTTAAATTTTTTATTATTTTTTCGAGACAGAGTCTTGCTCTGTCACCCCGACTAGTGTGCTGTGGCATCATCACAGCTCACTGCAACTTCAAACTCCTAGGCTCAAGCCATTCTCCTGCCTCAGCCTCTTAAGTAGGTGTGACTACAGGCACTGTGCCACTACCCCTGGCTAATTTTTTCTATTTTTAGTAGAGAGGAGGTCTTGCTCTTGTTCATTCTGGTCTCAGAACTCCTGGCCTCAAGCAATCCTCCCACCTGGGCCTCCTAGAATGCTGGGATTACAGAAGTGAACCACCGTGCCTGGCCAAAAACTTGATTTTATAGCTCACTGAAAAACAGTTTTAAAAGAAGAATTATAAATTGCTAAAATGTAAGCTGTTTGAAATGTTGCCTTTAGCTTAGAAGAGAAGGTCTAATGTTTTAGCATTTGCAGGTCTAATGTATTGCCTTTAGCTTAGAAGATAAGGTCTAATGTATTGTCAAGTCTGTAATTTTCCTGAGCTTATTTTAGTACTGCATGTCAGAAAAAGTTTGTGATTTTTTTTATGTTAATGATAATTTATATTAGTGTATATGAACCTAAATCAAAATTTCATTTTTTCTCTCAAAATATCATTTGGGAAAGATATGTCATTAGAGTTTGTTTGTTTAGAGTACTGAGATATTTCTCAGTGCTTTAGATAAAAATTTCCATTGATATTTGGTGTTTTATTTTTTGCCTTTTATCTTGTTACAACAATAATGCTATCTCAGTCACAAAGAAAACTTCTGGTTCTATTTTAGGTGCAGTTCTGTAGTGTTCTGAGTACCTGTGACCAAATCTTTGCCTTTATGTATGGTATGGGGTGTGTGTGTTGTGTGTGTGTGTTCTTATGTAACCAGCCTACTCAAGCTGTCTTAGAGAACTAATGGCTGCTTTTGAATGACCAGTAGGTGTCATCGTTGAATGCAATAAGTTGAACATTGAGTAGGAAATCACCAAACATTTTAAGAAACACTAGTCTAAATTAGCATATAATAGTAGTTGGATGATTATATATCATAGAAGTCCTCTCTTCTGAAACATTTCAATATTGGAGCTGTTTATAAGGAATTTGAAACAGTGATTGTAAACAGTGATTGCTCTAAAAATGGACCTGGATTTTTCATCCAACCCTTGAACTATTTTGACATGCAATTCAGGTTTAAGTTTGTTTTTTTTTAAGTTTGTTTTTAATACACAGTTTTGGCGTCTTATAGTATTTTTATTAAATTCTAGAATGATTAAGATTTTCAGCTTGACTGAGCTTTATTATAGAAAAACAAATGCTACATAATAAAAACCTAAAATGATAAAATATGGGTAGAAGTCTCCAAACAAGTTATCACAATAATACTTTGTTATTGTTCTTTTAATGCCAGAAGAGAGGAATTTTTATCTTTTGTTGTCTCTTAGTTTTTTTGATGTCCAGAATTGCCTATTTTTATATTTTTATCTGGCTAGTAGACTATGTGCTTTTCTCAGAATGATGAACTGAACATTTGTCATTGTTTAAAATATAATGTAGTGAATTCTGGAGGAAGCTGGCACAGAAAGCTCTGAAAGTGGCTTACATGTGTTGTGAGTACATTTCCTTACCTGCTTCCCCTTCTGTGGAGCTCTTTGTAGCTCTCCTTTTTATACGTGCTATTGACAATGTTTAGCAAAAGGGTTGGACCTAATTCAAGAATTCTTCATGAAGTCAAAAATAGGTAGGTATAGGGTTGGCGCAGTGGCTCATGCCTATAATCCTAGCACTCTGGGAGGCTGAGGCGGGAGGATTGTTGAGCTTAGGAGTTCAAGACCAGCCTGAGCAAGAATGAGACCCTGTCTCTACTAAATAGAAAAAATTAGCCCAGCATGGTGCCGCGTGCCTGTAGTCCCAACTACTCAGGAGGATGAGACAGGAAGATTGCTTGAGCCCAGGAGTTTGAGGTTGCTGTGAGCAGGGCTGACGCCATGGCATTATAGCCCAGGCAACAGAACGAGACTGTCTCAATAAAAAACAAACAAACAAATAAATAAATAGGTAGATAGCTCAAAATTATTAATCCAGGGGTTTTCAAAAAGGCACACACATTTATTTTATCATTGCCAATTTTCTTGAGAATTTTAATGATGGGAGAATATGAAGAGGGTAAATATATTTTGAAAAAGAAATTCCTCTGATGATTGGCTTTGCCTTCAGCTTCCACTTTACAATCATTGATCTATCAAGGCTTTGGCACTTGTGGTATGAACCAGTGACAGTAGTTTTAGCTTGAGAAAAAAGGCTGCCAAATCTACCATATTTTTTATAGCTCAATAAATTTTCACCATTTAATGTCATAGCTAGGATAGCTTTTCTAGCCAGGAGCTGAAGTTGCCAGAAATAAAAATTGTGCTGAATGTTTTGGTTTGGATTAGTTTTTACTTGGCACTTAGCTGCTTTACGTAAACCAAGCTAATTTCTTTTATGATTCAGACCTGTGCTAATTTGCACAGATATTTATTCATATCCTGTTCTCTTAATGTCTCTGAAAGCTATCTAGGTCTAGAATTAAACTAAAATTGGAAAGTAAGAGTTGGAGTTTTCTTGATTAAAGGACCTTTTGGATAATGCTATGATGTACTTCATTAATCTTTGGATAAATATTCACTTAGTAATATTTATTAAAACTTGAAGTTGCCAATGTATTGACCTTGAGGTGAGTCCAGTTTAGAAATTCATGGTTCATCTTATGAATTCTAGTCTTTCTGTTTGGGTATTTGGCTGCCATAGAAACAAGTATGAGAAAAAGTAAATGAATGGACTTTAATTTTAAGGAAAGCAGTAAAAACTCAGTTATATAATATATTGAGAGGCATGACTTTGATTATTTATAGAAATATAGTACTTTCTAGGTCTGAAATACAGCTGCCAAAAAGGTAGTCATAAAATATGGTAAGTGGCCCCAATCTTTCGAATGGCAAAGCACAGGTTACAGAATAGTTATTTTGTTCCACTGTAATCCCCCTAAACTCCAAAAAATGTCAGAATCAAATTTATCCATCACCTTTGTCATTATAGATACTTGACTCTTGATAGTGCCTGATTCTTAATTAATATAGACTTTTGTTTGCTACTAAGATTTATCAGTTAACCTCCTTAAATTCCTTTCCTCATATTTTTTAAAAAATTGGTGGGGAGAGGGAGTTGGATACTGAGCAGGGAGGGAAACTTATACTTACTACAGATTCTTTTTTTTTTTTTTTTTTTTAAAGGATGGTCAAGTGAAGCAGTGGGAGTGGAGAAGGAACAAAGGAATCTGTAACTGGTTTTGATCAATTAGTTGTGCAGATTCTACTGAGGCTTTTTAATCAATGTGCATTCCCTTTGTAGTTCATTCTTTTTATTTAGTTATTTAGTTCATTATTTTTAAATAAAAAAGAAATTGGGGATAGGAGAGTATACCCACTGTCCTTTCTACTTTATAAGGCGATTGTAAGACTCACATAGAAAGCATGAAGTGCTTATAAAATCTGAAATTAGACCAGGCAAGATGGCTCACGCCTATAATACCAATACTTTGGGAGGTCGAGGTTGGAGGATTGCTTGAGCCCAGGAGTTCAAGACCAGCTTGAGCTATACAGCAGGTCTCTGTCTCTACAAAAAAATAAAATCAGCCAGGTGTGGTGGGACATGCTGTATGTAGTCCCTGCTATTTGGGAGGCTGAGGCAGGAGGATCGCTTGAGCCCAGGAGTTTGAGGTTATAATGAGCAATGATGATGCCGCTGTAGTCTACCCCAGGTAACAGAGTCAGACTGGGTCTCCAAAACAAAACAAAACAAACTGAAATTAATGTGAACAGTATTATGCAGTGCCTACTATTTTATTATTTGTGGGGAAAAAACTAGGGGAATTAATGTAAAACTTAAGACTTAAATGTTTGTGTTCTTCAGGATTCTAAATCACCTCGTTCTATACCACTGATTTTTTAATTCAATTAGCATCTAAATATGATTTTCAAATCTATATTTCTAATACAGAGTTTTCTCATGATCTGTTCTTTAGTTTCTATTCTATATATCTAATTGCCTGGTAGATGAGGATGATTGGCAAGTGATTCAAATATGGTATGTCCAAAAGTGAATTCATATTTTCCCTTTTATCATCTATCTAATGTGCTGAAGCTGGAACCTTGACATTATCTTTAACACTTTATTTATATACTCCTCATCTGAGCAATGCTAGGTTCTGTTGACTTTACCTTTTTACTTTTTCTTTGATTCTATTTACATCTCTCAATTTCTACAACCACTAAAAATATGAAGAGTTAAGGCCTAGACTTACCATAAATCTATATAAGGCAGACTCTACCATTTATATTTTTCAGTTTTCTTATCTTGAAAAATAAAGTTATACATCCTAACAATTACACTCTTGAGCATTTATTCCAGAGAAATTGAAACTTGTATTCACACAAAACCCTGCCCTTGAATGCTCATAGCAACTTTATTCCTAATAGCCCCAAACTGGAAACAGCTTAGATGTTTTTCAACAGATGAACAACAGACTAGTTGTATAATCTATATCATGGACTACTGTGCAGCAATAAAAAGAATGGACTATTGATACAGGATGGGTCTCAAGTGAAAAAAGCCA